ATTTATAAAACTATTGGGCCATTTCTTGTGAAGTTAAACAGGCTCCTTTGATCAAGACATTCTAGTTATTTAGCCAAGGAAAGTGAAAACACAGGTTACAAAAAGACTTGTACAAAAATATTCATCACAGCTCTATTTATAATAGACAAAATCGAGAAACAGTTCAATGTCCATTAACAGGTGAAAGAATAAACAAAGTGTAGCATAACCATAAAATGGAATACTACTCAGTGATAAAGAGAAAAACTACTCACAGTTTATGAATGAATGAGACCGTAAAAGAAGTACCTACAATTTCGCTCTGTTAATGTGAAGTTCTACAAAGTCTTAACTCATTTGTGTGAAAAGTGTACATTATATGATTCCATTTTTATGAAATTCTAAAAAGGTAAAACTAAGATGTGGTTTTAAAAAAAGAACAGTGGTGGGCTCTCTGAGGGGTGGTTGATTCAGAGAGATCAGTAGAGAGAATTCTGGTGTGATGGAAATCTTGATAAAGTGTGGTTCATATTCTGGGGATTGGAAATGTTTTATATCTTCATAGGGATATTTAATTGTACATTTAAGATACATACATTTCATTGTAGGTACATTTTGTCATAAAACATGTTTACTATTATTATTATACTACTACTACTACTACTACTACTACTATTATTATTATTATTACTATTATTATTATTATATTTATTGAAGGGGAATAGGGAGGGGTACAGGTCAATGCTGGGATGCTGAGAGTTGTGTGTGTATGTATGAAGTTTCATTATATCATGGTGATTATTTTGTACATGTTTGAGATTTTTCCATAATAAAAAGTTTAATATAAATAAACAAACATAAACTCACTGCCAACAATTGTCAACTCATGGCCAGTCTCCTTTTATTTTCAACACCTTCAACTTCCTTTCCTCCCAGTATGACTTTGCAGCAAATCCCTACTGAGCCCCTCCTCTGTGCCAGATCCCTGGGCTGCGCTCCACATACCAAGCAGCAAACAGGACAGATCAAACCTTGATGCCAAGGCATTCGGGGGAAAACAGGTAAACCGGCAATAAATAAGGCAATTTCAGATAGTAAAGTTACTATGACAACAATAAAAGCCAGATCTGGCAGAGACTGACTTGGTGGGTGGGGCCTGACGTGGGTCTTTATTGGGGTGGTCAGGGAAGGCCTCTCAGAGGAAGTGATATTTGAGCCAAGACTGAATGAGGAGGAAAAGCAGCCATGGGAAGGATCCTCATCCAAAGGGGAGAGCAGCCAAGGCCCTGGGGCGGGTCTGAAGAGGACCTGTTGAGTGACAGAGAGAGAAGACTGGTGTGGCAGAAGCAATGTGAATGTAGATGGGCGGTCTGAGGTGGGGCGGGGCCCTGGAGAGCCCAGGCAGGAGTCTATGTTCCAAGTGCAATGAGGAGCTTGGAGAGGACTGGGAGCACGGATGCTCCATGTCCCCCTAAATGATTCACATTATAAGAAGGCCACTTTGTCTACCCTGTGAGGAACGGATTGGGAACGAGGCAGCAGGAAAGAATGTAGGAGGCCAAGGTAGGGGTGCATGGAAAAGAGGAGAGGGTGGCCAAGGCATGAGAAGCACTAGGCAGAGTCCTGATTTGCTTCTGGTGTTGGGGCTGCTGGCCCTGTGGGTGGACTGGCTGCCAGGGGTGGAAGCAGGAAACAGCAATGGCGCTTGGTGGGGCTGAGAAGGAAGAAGGCTGGGTGGTAGGGCAGGTTGGCAGGGGAAGCCAGGAGTGCTGTTTGGGCGCTTGGGAAAACACGTCGTGATGCAAGTAGGGGTGCGGAGCGGGCATCTAGTTGTAGGAGTGCGATGCTCAGAAGAGGGAGAAGAAACAGCTAAAGGAAAGTGTGCCATTGGAAGGAGAGTAGTGTGCGCCCGCTCATAATGCGTTTCTCCTCTTTCCTGTTTTACTGGATAGTGAAACAGTCTAGAAGTAGATGCGCTTTGTTTAAAAGGAAAAAAACTTATATGGGGGGAGGGTATAGCTCAAGTGGTAGAGCTCACGTTTGACGTGCACGAGGTCCTGGGTTCAATCCCCACTACCTCCTCTAAAAATAATAAATAAATAAACCTAATTGCCTCCCCCTCCAAAAAAATTTTTTTCCAAAAGAACTTACATAGATAAACTGGCATTTCACCTATGCCATGGGGTTGTGAAGATTATACGAATTAATACAAGTAAGAAGCTTTAAAAAAGTGCCTGGCACAAATTCAGTATTCCTTGTATTTTTTTTTTTAAGTTCAGTTCCAATACAAAAAGACTAGCTTAGCTTGTAAGGGATCTTTGCATAACTTGCTGTCCATCTAGGGGGAAAATGTCATTTAGATGCTCTACCTCATGCCTAAGTGAAAATACATTTCATATTGATTAAAGATGTACACGGAAGAAATCGAACTAGAAAAGGATGAGAAAAACATTTGGATGACTAGTCAGCTGTCTAGCTTCAGCATAAAAGACTTTTTAAGCTACACAGAAAACCGAGACCCAGTAGTGAAAAGAATTTGACTGCATACAAAAGCCTCTGTGGCGAAAATGCTATAAACTGTACCAAGGATAAGTTACGTGTTCAGTAAGGAAATTTTGCACTATAAATAATAAGCATAGTATGAATTTCCACAAAATATGAAGATGTCTTAGAAATTAATAAACAATCCAACAGATTTCTTTTCCCAAAAGAAAATGCAAACCATCAAGAAATAAATGGAAAGAGGTTTTATCTCACTGGTATTTAGGGGAACCAATGGCCTTTGTCTTTTCACCCATCCAACTTGACTCAGCCTTCTCAGACACTGATGCCAGGAGTGTGAGTTGCTACAACCTTTTTTGGGTATCTGACAAATAAAAATGTGCATTTCATTACACTTAGCAATTTCTCTTTTAGTAATTCAGGCAAAAAGAGATTAAAAGCACCAGTATACATAAGATTTTTTGCTGCTGCACTGTTTGAAATGAAAAAAATGTTTGAATGTCCATAAATAGGAAAATGATTCAATAGATTATGGTTCCTTACATTTTGTAATAGTTTCAGCTATAAAAAAAAAACATATGTGAGAACTATATATACTGATGTGGAGGGATGTCTGTGGCCTGTTAAAGACAAAGGCGAGTTGTGTAGTAAAGGACTAATGTTGCATTTTTGTTTTTTGTTTTTTGTGTATATCTTGGCTTTTTTGTTGTGTATGTGTTCGGGTAATGGTGACTGGGGATATTTATACATTCATACATGGGCTTGTGTGTGTAAGGACATAGAAGGAGAAAAGACCCAACTGCTAATGTTGATCACCTCAGAGAAGGAGGATGGAAAGGTGGGAAGAGCAGACGTAATAACATTTCTTCTAAAAAACCAAAATATATCTATATGGATGTAAACATGTACTTTCTTTTTACAAACTCTTGTATCATTTGACTCCTTTCTGAATTTAAAAATAAAAGATGAATAAGAGTCTAGTATCCAGAATATATATTTAAAAACTCTAACAACTCAACAACAAAAGACAAATAACTCAGTTTAAAAATGGGCAATTAACTAGAACAGACATCTCTTCAGAGGTGTACAAATTGCCAATAACACATGAAAAGATGCTTAACGTCATTTCATTAGTCAGTAGAGAAATGCAAATCAAAACCAGAAAGAGATGCCACTTCACACTCACTAGGATGGTTATAGTTAAAAAAAAACAAAAACAAAAACAAAATGAGTGTTGGTGAGGATGTGGAGAATTTGGAACCCTTGTTAAAAATGGAATTACAGTATGACCTAGCAATTTCACCGCTAGGTATACATTCAATATAGAAAGCAGGTATTCTGATAAGTGCTTGTTGTTTATAGCAGTACTATTCACAATAACCAAAAGGTGGAAACAACTCAAATGTCTATCAGTGGATGGATGGATAAACTATATGTGATATATACATACAATGTAATATTATTTGGCCATAAAAAGGAATGAAGTTCCCATATATGCTACAGGGTTGGTGAACCTCAAAAACATTATGCTAAATGGATGAAGCCAGACTGAAAAGGTCCTGTGATTCCATTTATAATGAAATGTTCAGACTAGCAGAGACAGAATCCATAGAGACAGAAAGCGGACTACTAGCTGCCAGGGGCTGGGAGGGAAGGGAGAATGCGGAGCAACTGCTCATCAGGTACGGGGTTTCCTATAGGATGATAAAGATGTTTCCAAACTAGTGGTGTTTGCGCAACACTGCAATTGTACTAGATATCACTGAGTTGCTCACCTTAAAATGGTTAACTTTATGTTGTGTGAATTTCACTTCAATAAAAAACGGGAAAAAATAAAAGACAAGCTCTCTGGCGCTCGTGAGGAGAGCAGCCTGGACTGGAGGCCTCGCTTCTCCCAGCTGCCCCCTTGCGGGCCACGCGTCCGCCTGCCGAGGGCACGTCAGTACCCTGGCTCGCAAATCCAGAGGGCGACGTGGGCTGAAGAGGTGGAACAGGAGTAACAGACAGGGGGCTGTCAGACGGCAGCACCCTCCATTCGTGACGTTGCCACCTCTGCCCAGTCAAGCAAGCTTCTCTGCCCAGGTTCGAGTTTGAAGCGACCCGCGCTGGGCCAGGCGGAAGGGGCGGGACCTGGGGGCGGGGCGAATGGTGGGCAGTGGGTCGGCCTGCGCGCCGGACCGGATGTGAAGGAAACCGGAACCCTTCAGCCCGGGGCGCCTGTTTCCGGAGGGATCGGATCGCGACGTTGAAGTCCACCACGCTGGGAAGCCGGCTTTCGGAGTCTTTTGTCACCGGGTCTCAGCGGAGTGGGATTGGTGGTGGCAATGAGGCAGAAGCACTACCTTGAGGCTGCAGCGCGGAAACTACAAGATAGCTGCCCGGGCCAGGCCCGGTATCTCCTGTAAGAGAGGGACGGGATGGGCAGCGGGAGGCGAGCGGCGAGGAGGTTTTCTCTGTTCCCTCACGAGTCTCTTTCTCTTTTGCAGCTGGGCCTACAGTTCGTCACACGGTAGGGAGGACGCCCGTTGGTTGTGGGTCAAGCACGCGTCGCCCCGCTCCTCTCCATTCTGCACAACGCTCAGAATGATCAAAAAGAAAAAAAAGAAAGAAAAAATCTAATCGACCCTCTGCCATAATGCTCGCTTCTCAGTTTCGCAAGAAAAATCCAGTTTCCTTAACCTTGCCTGACCTGTTAGCGGCATTTGACACACTGATCGGTCTACTTGAAGTAGTTTCCTCACTTGGCTTGCAGATCATCACAAAGTTCACTTCTTGATATGCTTTGCTGGTTCTCCTAATTTCCCTAACCTTTACAAACCAACGTTGGAGTGTCCCAGAATTCAGCCCTTGGACCTCCTTTCTAGCTACACTGACTTCCTTGGTGACAGTTTTTCATCCAGCTTCATGGCTTTTAAATTCTGTATCCGCACCCCAGGCTACTCCCCCGAATTCTAGATTCATCCAGATGGCTTGATGACTTTTTTTGAATGTCATATTAGGCCAAAGCTTTATCCCCCAATATAACAACCCCCCTCTTCCAGTTCTTCCCATTTCAATAAATGGTAACCCTATCCTCAAGGAATTAGTCAGCCCAGAAACCTAGAAGCGACTCTGTAGCTAACAGCCTTCCTCCCCAAGCCAATAAGCCAGCAAATCCAGTTGGCTTTAAAATGTATCCAGTATCTAGCGACTCTAGCGACTTCTCTCTGTATCCATCTTACCACCCTGGTCCAAGCTGTCAGTCTCTCCTGGGTCATTGCCAACAGCTCCGGTGCATTTCTGCCGTCCATTCTCAATCTAGCGACCAAAGTGAGCCTAATAAAAACCTAAGCTAGATCATGTCACTTCTCTGCTACATACTCTGAAATCTCAAAAGAGTATAAGTGAATATCTTTTAAAGAGACTACAAGGCCCTGCATCATAGGTCCGTATTAACCTCTCTGACCTGCTCTCCCTTCTGTTCACTGAAATCCAACCACCCAGGCCCCGGTGCTGTTCATGGCCTTTGCAGCTGCCCGTCCTTCTGCCTGGAACTCTTGCCTCATACCTGCTTGGATTCCTCCCTCGCTTCCTTCTGGTCTCTTGCAAATGTCACCCCGCATAGTCTTTCCTGGCTGCTCTATTGCCATCTTCCATTCTCCTTTCCCATCTTACTTTTTTCTCCCCAGCACCAACCAAACATATGATGTTGGTGTATTTACTGTCTCTCTCCATGAACTGCCCTTTGTTCACTGTGGTATCTCCCACACCCAAAACAGTGCCTGGAACTTAACAGTCATTCAGTAAATATGAAAGAATTTTACATTTGGCAGAGCTAAGTCACAGACATGGTCCTTTTTGTGGCGCTGTCATATCCCTAGCACTTAGCACAGTGCTCACCAATAAATGTTTATTAAATATTTGATGGTGTGCCCACCTTCCTTTTCATTTGCATCACTTCATAGCTCACCTTTCCCTAAAAAAAAGTCATGCTTGCTTTTTCACCGTAGCTTTACCTGAAAGCCCTTTACAAATAATGAGTGCCATTTCCAAATACAGATAGAATTTATAGTCATCTATGATGACCTTTTTCAAGCCTCTTTGAAATGTTTCTGGATGGTCCATGCATAGCTTAATAATTTCCAGGGCATTTAAGTCCTGTTCTGCTACTGTTGTTACCAGCCTTATCTTCATTTGTTTAGAGCTCCCTGAGAATGTGAGTTCTTTAAAGATAGCAACTCTTTTGCTTCTGTATTTTTATCTCCACAGCCTAGCATGGTGACAGTCAGTGAATGCTTTCTTGATTGCATAAAGGGGATAGGGCATGTCTGTTGTCCTGTTACCTTGTACTGAGAAAACTACCTACAAAGCCCAGCTCACAAATCACAAAATGAAAAATCACAGTGTAATTTGTTATTTTGTAATAAACATGTTTGTAAAATTGATGAGACATACAGATTTTATTTACTTGGTAGCAAGTAATGAATGTAGCAAAGAGTGGGGACCTACCTATTTGTTGCTAAAAGGAGTGAATGGATAGAATTAGTTTTTGTAAAATAATTATATATTGTAATTAATGCTAATTTATCTTTTTGTAAATTATACTTTGAGTTTGCTTACTGAAAATGTGTATTTGCTCACATTAAGTAATATACTCTTTTGCATTTATAATATTGAGTTTGTGGTAGCAGAATATTCTGGTTTGCTGAATCATGAGTTCCATTTGTGTAATTGTAGATGATAACAGCACTTTTGAAGAAACATGTCCATACTGCTTCCAGCTGCTGGTTCTGGATAACTCTAGAGTGCGCCTCAAACCCAAGGCCAAACTGACACCTAAAATACAGAAACTTCTTAATCGAGAAGCAAGAAATTATACACTCAGTTTTAAAGAAGCAAAAATTGTGAAAAAGTACAAAGACTCCAGAAGTGTATTGGTAAGATTTCAATTCCAGTATGTATAAATAAACGAGAATTTTCTTTCACTAAAGATAAAGTTACGAATCAGCCTGAATATAACTCAAAGATTTGTAGTAGTACATTTAAATTGTCAAAATATATACATAATTCTTCTCTAATTATGACTGTTTCATCAAGAGTATAGCTTATTTTTTGTTTCTTGCAATTACCTGAAACCAAACAGCAGGGGCTCTCAATTGTTCACATCTTACTGTTGAGCACAATTATTTTATCAGTTAATGGTACTTTTCTTCAAACAGCAGTGTGTATTAAGTACCCCATGGAGGGTTATGTCTTCAGTCACCCTCTTCCATGTCAGAGTATGTTTTTAAGTTTATGCTCAACAAAGGTAAGTACATCTTATGTTCATTCATCAAACATTTTTTGAGGCTGTATCTTATGCAAAACAGTGCAGTGTATTGGGGCTATAAAATGGAATAAAACAACTAAAATCAAATTATTTATGGTTTTCCAATACACTTTATCTGCATGTTCTTTTTAACATTTGTCAAGTGTTTGAGTGCCTGCTTACTACCAGGCACTGTGCTGGGCACACTGAACACTAAAACAGATTATGTGTGACCCAAGACTACAACTGGTAATAACTTAGATTGGAACTGCCATGTTTAGGAGTTCACCAGCACTGGATGGGTAAGTGCATTTTGCTCTGTCATAAAATTGACTGTTTATATAAAGCATGGAGCAACTTACACAGACCTCTGTAAATAAGACCTTCCATTTGCATTTTTACCTGCTCATGATCTTCAGAGTACTTAGCTAAACTAGTTTGTATTAATTTTGTTGAGGCTTGGGCTGAGTCCTGGGCACTGAGTGAGATATGTAGAAGAAAGGCATTCAGCTGTAAAAATGGACCATGTCTTGAAAAATGAATCCTGAAAAAAGGAGTCAACCTGTATAGCTAAGGAGGTGAAGAAGTGTGAGAATGTGAGAATTCATTTGATTGGTTTTATAAATTACTTCAGACCTATTTTTACAGAATCACTAATCAGTTGTCTGAAGGAGTCAATTAAATTTTCAATGATACTTAGCCATGTTTTATTGGGAAAAGGCTTGGAGTTTGTCTACAAAAAAATATTAAATGTCTACTGCTATTACAAAGAGCATCCTTCCAAAATGGAGGAGGCTCATTCTCAGCTCATTCTCAGCCTCCTCCATTCCCTTTGAACAGAGTTTTACATTGAGAGAGTAGAGCTTTATCATCTTTACAAAGATGTTTTAAATTATATACGGATGTTTAGCCATTAACTTTTTATTGAAGATTTTCTTTTAAATTTGTGTCTTTGTCTGATTCCTGTTGCAAGATTACAAGCTCCCCAAGGGCAGCCTTTGTTACTCAACCTTGTGACACCTGATGTAGTCCCTTATGTATAAGAATTTAATGAACATGCAGTGTATTTGAATGAATTATAAGATAAATCAGACCTAATATTTCTTCTTTTAATGGCAGTTGGTTACTTGTAAAACATGCAACAGAACAGTTAAACATCATGGTAAAAGTAGAAGCTTTTTATCAGCATTGAAGAGCAATCCTACCACTCCAACGAGTAAACTCGGCCTGAACACCCCGGAGAGGATGACTCTAAGTTCTGCAAACCTGAAACATGATAGGTCTGGTTCCAAAGGGAAGAGCCCAGCGCTGACTTTCAGGTATCTTAATTCATTAAGCTGTTTAAATTGCTAGAGTTAACTCTTCTGAGTTCTTCTAAGTTCTCTGTTTAATATACACTCCCTGACTTTGCCACCCAGCTCAGGGAGTTCTTCGGCGTGCTTTTCTGCTTCCAGCTTCTCCCTGGGCCTGTTCCCAGCTGCCTGTGCAAAATATCTACTCCCCCGTCCCCACAGGTCCCCACAGTTAACTACTCAAAATGCCCCATCCTCTTATGTTGCTTGTTTTGTAAGTGAACATGTCCTTCTAGACATTTTGACCTGAGACGGTGAGTGCAGCTCACAGTTCCTGCTACCTTGGTCCTTGTCCAGTTAGTCGCCGGCTTCTGTGCATCCTACTTCCTTGGTGTCTGCATGTGAGCTCTCCTTCCTCCCTGCTGCTGCTGTCTGTTCAGGTCTCCATTCATTGGCCAGGACTACTACAATTATTTCCTGAGTTTTCCTGCTTCTAGTTTCAAGCCCTTCTAGTCTGATATTTTTTAAAAGCACAGTTGTGGTTAGAAGCCTTTTAGCACGTCACTCTGTAGCATACGGAACAGGTGCTCTGGGGTGGGTTTCGAGCCCTCACTACCTGGTGCCAGTCTGCCTGCCTGTCTTACTTGTCTTCATTCCTCCTCTGTGTCAGCAAAGCTGAACCACTCAGGTTACTTTCCTGCTCCAAACCTTTGTTCTTGCTATTTCCTTGATCGGAAATTCCTGTGGCAATTAACTGAATAGGGATTTCTCAAATGATACGAAGTTAACTGTGTGACTGGGCACGTGTTTTATTTTTAGTAATCTTCAATACTTTATCCACTATGCTAATCAGTACATTTAACTCCATAGAAACAGAAAGGAATTTGTGAACATTTTCTTAGAAAAGATTCTGGTAGTTTCTTGAACATAAATAACAAAATTCAGCAAGGTCTAGATTATTTCTGCTTACTGAATTGAGGGTTTTTTCTTTTTTTTTTAAAGCTTTTTTGGGGGGGGGTAAATTGGGTTTATTTATTTATTTATAGTATATTTTTTAATGGAGGCACTGAGGATTGAACCCAGGACCTTGTGCATGCTACGCCCGTGCTCTATCACTGAGCTATACCCTTCCCACTGAATTTTTCTTTTATTGGGCTTGATGTCTAAAATTCCAAGTCCAGTTTCCTGTAAATTCTTGATTTAGTTATCTTGATGTTTGGTATGATAGGAATTCAGCATAGAAGTTTTCACTTTCTTGGGCACATGCAGATAAAAGGAAACTTGGCATATTTAAAATAACTCACTTGCTTTTAGACCAGACTGCTTCTTAGATACATGCAGGAATGAGAAGGATATTTCACATTTATTACACAGATGGGGAGTCAGAAGAGGGATGAGACTGACAAACCCTGAAGATTGTTTGGGGGGATGGAACACAGCTGGCGGGAATGAAGTAGAACAGGGCATAAATACACACGTACCAGATGGGGAGCCGTTTACTCAGTGGGTATTTTTAGGGCCTGCTCTCTGCCTGGCACTGCTCAGAAGCACTGGGCTAAGCAGGAATAAGACTTTTAAACTGTCATTTGTCAGTATACTAAGCGTGGCTTTATGTTTCTTTTCAGAACACCTACATCCGGACAGTCAACACCTATTTGCTCCTCAAAGAGTTTGAGCAAAAGAAAGAAACACTTCTCTCAACTAAAAATGTTGCTTAGCCAGAGTGAATCCCAGAAGAATCCAAAGGTGGACTTCAGAAGTTTCTTATCTTCTTTGTAAAGGATGGACTAGAAGAATAAGAAGTGTTTAATGCAATTTATGAAACTAAAGTTAGAAAAACTGGTTTTTAAAAAAAATCTATTTAGTCTTAAAATACATGAAAACCAGGGTCCAGGAACGAATTTTTCTTGGCATTTGCTTCAGTGTTTATGGAGAAAAGCCCTCATTAGAATGAAAAACCGAAACCCGCACACGTCGCAAGGTGGCTGTGAGAATCAGACATGTCTGAAAGGTCCTGGTAGGCAGTAAGGATATACACGGACACTCAGTGGCTATGTTACTGTCTTCTCCTTCCTTAATTAACAGTTTTCATTATTTACGTCATTTTCTTTCATAAGGAAATTGAGATCTTTACGAGAGGGTCTACTCACTCCTTTCTCGGTGTCCATAGCCTTATTGCTAATTCAGAAAAAGTTTAAAGTACGTGTGTCTTCGTTTGCCACATTCATCCGCATAACTGAATATTAGTAAAAATTTAAACATTATTCCTACTTTCTGTGCAAAAGTAAATACAGGGGACATTCTTGATTGTAGATGATTCAGTCAGATATCAAAATTTTCATTTTTACAACTCTCTTTTGTTCCTCATAATGTTTCACTGTAAATGGTATTTCATTTGCTCTGGCGAAAACTTATTTTTTTTAGGTCTAAAATTTACATCAAATACCATAGTAACAGTTTAGCTATCCTAAATCTTTCCTGGAACATAGATGTGCTTTTTTTAAATGATAGGCTAGGATTCTGTTCAACCTGTCTTTTAAAAACTCTTTAAATAAATAATTTAGACAATTTAAACTATAATCTGGTTCCAAGACTCTTTGCTGCTTTAAAGTTTAAAACTTAAAATTTTCTTAAGAAATACAATGGAGAAAGGATAGTCTCTTCAGTAAATGGTGTTGGAAACTGGACAGCCACATGCAGAAAAATGAACTACCACTATCTCACACAATACACAGAAATTAACTGAAAATGGATTAGACTTGAATGTTAAGACTTGAAGCCATAAAACTCCTAGAAGAAAACATAGGCAGTGTGTTTGTTGATATCAGTCTTACCAGTATCTTTCTAGATATGTCTCCTCAAGCAAGGGAAACAAAAGCAAAAATAAACAAATGAAGTTACATCAAACTAAGAAGCTTCTGCACAGCAAAGGAAACCATCAGTAAAATGAAAAGACAGCCTACTGAATGGGAGAAATGTGCAAGTGATAACATCTGGTAAGGGCTTAATATATAAACAGTTCATACAGCTCAACAACAACAAAACAAATAACCTGGTTACAAAATGGGCAGAGGAGCTGAATAGATACTTTTCCAAAGACATGCAGATGGTCAACAGACACATGAAAAGATGTTCACCATCACTAATTATTAGGGAAATGCAAATCAAAACCACAATGAGATTTCACCTCACACCTGTCAGAACAGTTTTTATCAAAAAAGGCAAGAAATAAAATGTTGGCAAAAATCTGGAGAAAACGGAACCCTTATACACTTGATATGAATGTAAATTGTTGTAGCCACTGTGGAAGACAGTATAAAGATTTCCCAAAAAATTAAGAATAGCACTTGTCATCCCTGCTCTAAAGGAAATGTGGCATGGGATTAGACAAACTGAATACTTGTAGAGTTCTTTGACAAAACTACTTTCCCAGATCAGAAGAACTGAAGATGATACAATTTTGAGTTTATAACTAAATTTTTTTGGCTCTTGTTGATTGCTTCAGATGATATGTCTTTCTAGAAAGTAAGATGGTTTAATTTTTTTTAATCTGAAGACCTCCACAATTACTGACAGTTTTATCCTTTAGAAAAAGTACATTGTGCAGAAGCATTCTTAGAAGACACAGAATATAAATTACAATTTTACTAAGTAGCATACAATGAAACAAGTCTATACATCCTTAATACTGTACTTTAACAAATGAGATTTCTAGTACACTACCAAGAAATTATAAAGTGCCTACAGAGTGCTACCCTATCTATGTAAGACAATTAAGAAAAGAAACCAAATCATTGTTCTAAAACAAATATAAAAGAGGAATATTTTAATTTAATATTTAATATTTAAATGACGCTTAATACTAGATCTAACTTTTTATAATAAAAACAGCTATTCAGAATTTCTAAAATGATAGCCAACAAGCACTTAGGAAATCTCTTCATTGTGTCTAACCTCATCAAAGTATTTAATAAAGTAATTACTAAGCTGCCAAATATATATCTAATGAATATTTAATTTTATATATGACTATGATTAACATCTAAAAATAGAATTGCATACCTATTCCTCTGGGTTATTTGAATTGCTGATTGTTACATTGTATAACTGCATTTAAAAACTAATTTAAATAATACAGAGCTTTAAAAAACATTGAATACACTTCCTCTATGTTAAAAAAAAATTGGTTTTCTGTTTAAATATTTCTAAGTCATGTTCTGAAAAAAAAACTCGCCTTAAAAAAAAAAAGACAACTCTAGGCCATGTCGCAAAAACTGCTGGTTAAGAAAAAAATTGTATTTTAACCAATCAATAAGCCCCATCATTAGCAGTTAGCTTCTTACCGGTTCCTGGTGGGGAAGTTTACACCCAACCAAAAAAAGAGCTTTATGCTATTGATGTAAAACCCTATCATAATTGTAATTGCTCTGTCCATCAATGGACATAAAAGCAAGGAAGGAAAGATAAAGGAACTGGAAGGAAGTTAGTCTTTCTTCCTCATGCTAGGCAAGACAAGGCGAGACTAGCAACTCCAACAGGGAGAATACTACACACTGATGACTAAGCCAGGGTATCCAGAGCTGTCGGCTACAGACACAGGAACTGGACGGGAAGCTGGCGTGAAGTCCTGCAGAGCTCAAATACCAGCTCAAAAAGATGAATGAAAATAGAATTTCCCTCAGCTAAGCACACTCCAGCTGCAGTCTAACAGCTCAAATCATAAAACCACAGTCCAAACCACAAAGACCTTATGGCAGTTATAACTAAATTACACAAAGACTTTAAGAATCAAGTAGCATTGTAAACGTTCTGTTAATAACTTGATCCCATAACGGTCCTACATGACTTTATAACTTATATATCAAGAGCTGGAAAAAGGAGACAACAAATATTAATGTAGTATTTTGAAAAAGCCGTAGATTAATACATGATTTAAACTTCTTAATACCTCTCATTTAACTTGTATTTCCATAAGTAAACACAAGTGTTATTTTAGAAAGTAAATATTTCTTTGTAAATTTGAAATACGACTTTCAATACCAATACAATAGCAATACCAACACAACTGAATTTTTCTAGAAAACATCTGAACAATAGCTCTGCCTAAAAATTTCACTTAAATTAATTCAAAATTTCAGTTTCATACCTTTCCCATGGTGCATAGAATTCAAATGTGAAATGCATTATTCCAAAATTCATTTTAGTTATTCCATTTCAGTCAGTGATCCATTTCTAAAAAAGGCAGTAAAACATAGTTTTCATCTTGGATAGCATCCAACAAGTTGGAAATAACATCACAGGGATTTCAGCAATTAAAATGGCTAAACCTGTGGTGGCATAATCATACCAAAGGCTAATCAGGCTTCAAAAAGTCAGATGACGGTCAGGACCCAGACTGCATTACTGCTTCTCCTTCACTCTGTCATCCTCGGAAGAATTACAAGAGATGCACTAGACAGACAAATTAAATACGAAAGTCGGGGGGATTTGCCAGGGGGGAGAAAGCGGGGCTCCTAAGGGTAGAAACACAGCAGATGAAAACCATTTCTTGGCTTGTCAGAAAAGCACACTTTTTTACAACTGCTTTGTTGGACCAAGTCCTTTTATTCACTGTAATGGTATTTACCATATTTGAGACAAAAGTGTTGAGGTAAAGTGTTGGATGCCTAGCACAGTGGTACACAAAGCTAAACTGGAACTGGAGTGCATGTCAGAATTACCTAGAAGTCTCGTTAAAAAGATAGATTGCTGGTCCCCAACCTCAGGTTTTCTAGTTCAGTAGTCTGGAGTCCGAGACTTTGGCCCTTCTAAGAAGTTCCCAGCTGAGGCCAATACTGAGCGCCTATGGAACCACTGGCTTGGAAGAAATACATTAGTTTAAAAATAAAAGCAAGCTTTGGTCAATTCTAAAAATTGTTACTGTATTCCATTCCCACTAGAATGTAAACTATTTGAGAGCAGACATGCAGTTGAATAATCTCTGTATGTCTCAAAAGATTTAACACCATGCCTTAAGCACAGTAGGTTTCATTAAAATGTTGTCTAAACTATCCCTATTAATAGTTCATTCTCATTTTACCTTGTTTATATGAATACAAACAATTGCTTTGAAAAAGGCAATTGGAAATCAAAACAGGGACTTGCACAGATTTTTGTACACCCATGTTCACAGCAGTATTATTCACAATAATCAAAAGGTGGAAGTAGTCGATGGTCCGTCAACATATGAATGGATAAACAAAATGTATACATCCATATAGTGGAATATTACTCAGCCTCAAAAAGAAATTCTGACACATGCTACCACATGAAGCAACCTAGAGCAGATTATGCTAAGTGGAATAAACCAAGCACGAAAGAACAAATATTTTATAATTTCATTTAGGAGGCACCTAGGAAAGTCAAGTTCATAGAGACAGCGAAACGGTGGTTGCAAGGGGCTGGAGGGATTGGGGGTTACTGTTTAATGGGTAGAGGACTAAATGGGGAAGCTGAAAAAGTTCTGAAGATAGATGGTGATGGCTGCAGAACCATATTAATCATCAATGTATCTAACCCCAGAGTACACTTAAAAGTGGTGAATTTTATGTTACATATATTTTACCTCAATAAAAACAATATAAAAGACAACTGGGTATAACATCCCTTGATAAGCCCCCATCCTTCAGCAGTGCTTTTAGCTAAGATGTTACTTTTTAATTTGAATATTTGCATAATGGTATCATTTCACATGTTACGCAGAACATGGATTTGGTGATGGTGGAGCTGCTACACAACATACCAGTATGACAGGCAGCATTATGCACCAGTTCAGAAGCACAGGCTCAGAGTCCGTCTTTCATCTGGGTCTGAATCCGAGCTTCACCATTTGACTTGTTAAGGGTCACCAAAATTTACGCTGCGTCTTATCTTCCCCATAGGTAAAATGGGAAAAATCAGAGCATCTATCGCAAAGCATGTATGAAATTCTTAGAGCAGTCTTGGTCTATGGTAACTACCATATAAGTGTGAGCTACCATTATTGTATGTCACAGACCATAACTTGCTTTGTAGGGCATTGTTCCTCAAAGTGCAATCAAGAATGACCTGCATCAGAATCATCTGAGTAATTTGTTTAAAACGCAGATCAGGTCTATCTCAAATGTTCTGAAACAGAATCTCTGGATACAGGGTTCACTGCACTGTATAAAACCTACCTCTGCAAGGGGGGATACATGGACTGGGAATGGGAAACACTTGAATTCAGATACAGTGAGCAGAGGCCATCCAGGAACGGAGAACCAGGGGCACTGGCCAGAGGACCAGCTCTCCCAGACTTTCTAGATGTTAAGAATCGCAGAGAATTCTGATTCAGAAGGTATGTGCCGTCCCAAGTGAGTCTTATCAAAGGAGTCTGACAAACACCGCGCTAGAGATTACCACAGATTTCTAGGATTTCTCAATTCTGCTTTAAATTCAAGATGTGGTGAGAGGACCTGTGCTCCAGGAAGGAGTCCAAGGTACCAAGCAAATCTGTTTATTCAAAGGCACTTAGGCACTTCTGTGCAGGAGGTCACAAAGGATGGGGCCTCTTTCTCCACCCATAAGGAACTTGTTACATAATGAACTGTAAAACCCATACTTTCTTATCTAATTACTTGGAATTGCCTAACATTACCTGGAATTTTAAATCATGAAGCAAGTCGCAGACTTCAAAGTAGGTTTAGAGCAGTGGTTGTTAGAATGTGGCCCCTATACCCAGTGGCATCAGCATCAAATTGTTAGAAACATAAACTACCAGGCCTTACCCCTGACGCTCTGTTTAATAAGCCCTCCAGGTGATCCTGCTGTTAGCACCACCGACCAAGCCAATGGAATCCTCCTTCAGCAGTTTCTCCCCGTTAACATCGCTGAGTACTTTCCAGGAC